GGAACATAAGCAAATTTATAATTCTAAGTCTAACTACGGTTTACTCGAGCCCAGACAAACATATATGTCTATACTTACTTATAATTCGCTAGGATTCCCACTTGCTGGAAGTTCTTTCTCGTTGTCTCGGTTCTCGTGCCAAAACCCGTTTCATGGAAATAGGTATAAATTTCCTATTCCAAATCACAATTCTTCATACTTAGATTCTTAAATATAATTTCAAACTCGTTTCTGAACCTTTTTCCCTCTAGGCCGAATCCTAGCTCAAGAAGTAAATTACACATATTTGTGTATCTCGGTTCCTGAATCTTAATCTGTTCATTTCCGAGCTTTAAAATTGTTATTCACTCTCTAGAATCGAATTACTAACTTATTGCTTACTAACTAATTTTTAGGAAATTTTGACAGAATTTCGCCTTATTTTTCTCGTTTCCCGAGTTTCAATAACTCGTTCTACTTCTGATTTTGGTACCTGGAGTCAAGATTCACATTCCTGAACACAGATTTCAATATGAAATTGAACAAAAACACATGTTCTTTCTTAATCTAGGCTCATGAATTTTCAATGGAAATCCACCAAAACTTTGTTCAATCATTTTAATACTTACATCGTTGAACTCCTATTACGATGCTCTACAAAACCTCAGTTTCGATTTTTACTTTAACGGAAGTTTTCCAAGATGGGTTACTATTCATCCAAATCAAGAAATCATAGAATTCTCATGAAAAATCTGAAATCTTACCTCCAGAACTTGAGGATTTTCACTAAAACGCCTCAGGTTACGTTTCTACCGGACTGAACGGAAGAAATTTCGGTGAAAATGCTTGTTTTCCTTGATTTCTCTTTCTCCGTCTCTCCCTAACAACTTTTTTTCTTTTTTTTTCGTAACTCTCTCACGTTTTTTCTTCTCTGCTATGCTTCACGTTGGCATTAGCTACAAAGTGTTATTTATGTGTAATGAAGTATATACTTAAACGTCAAGTGAGTCTCCAAGTATTGTCTTACGTAATACTTCACGTGATATGCTAGCTACAAAGTAATGCCAAGTGTTTTCCTGCATGCAATGTTTATGTCCACCTCATGGTAATTATTCTCTTTCTTTTTTTTTTTTACAAATTTATCTCCACCTCACGGTAATAACGTGAGTCACCAATTTACATATAATCTTGCATGTATATATATATATATATTTTTTTTTTTTTTTTTAGATAAACTAATTTCTTAAGAAACGTACTTAGAAATAATCATATATATATGCACATATACTATAACTTTGTTCAACCTGCTTTTGTACTTTGCCATATCAAAGATACGTGCTAGCAAATTAGTGGGTTCTATACTCCTCAAATTTTTCTTGTCGAGACTTAACTTTCCGTTTCTCAAAATGAGTCTCTTTTCGGTACTAATAATTTCACAACCAATACAGGTTCTATACTGCTTTTCTAAATTTTCGAGTACCCTGGGTCAAACTTCTTATGTTCAACCCAATTCTCTTGGGTATCTCATTAGTCAATTTCTTTTTTTTGAAATTTTCATTTTAATTGATTTAGAATTGCCCAAAATGCGTACCCTCACGATACTCACTTTTTTAGTAGTTTTCCGCTTTAACTGACTCGAGAAAATTCTGTTTCAGGAACTTTTACTATTTTCCTTATTTCTAATATTTCTACTCTTTTTCTAACTGGTCAATTTAGTCACAAACCAAATATTTTAGTTTGTTATAACTAAAATATACCCGCTAAAATTTCTAACTTTTAACTGATATTTCACTATTCATAACTGATATTTACGAATTTTCTTTGTAAAAATATTCGTATTATAACTTTACATATTTCAGAAAATTTTACCCCGTACATAAAGTTTTTACATAACATTTTCTTGATTACATCAAAATTATACTGCTTACTATTCCATAAAGGATTTCGGTCAAATACCGGACTGTCTGGATTAGACCTAAATTTTTCCCGGTCATTACAATTTGTGTTTATTATGATTAGCCCCACGTGACTGCATTTTATAATATAATTTGTGATCACTAGGTCGAAGGACCTTTGTCTCAATAGAGACTTGCGGTGTGGGAAGCTTCCTTGATGATCACGAGGAAGAATTGGTTTAAATCTAAAAAATGTGTTTTACCCCACACGACGACATTCGATGTTATGTATGTTGTGGCCACAAGGTCTGATGAGGTATCTGAGATACCACCCCGTCTAAGTAATTGCGCGCATAAAATAAAAGAATGAATGAAAAGTTAAAATGTATGATGTTAACAAGTCATGAGCTCATGCATATTCTCATTGTTGCTATATCATGCATTATTCTACTTATTGGGCTTTAGCTCACTTATTTTTATGGTGATGCAGATGAGGGTACATCTCAACATTAGTTATGGACTAGATGGTTGGCTTGCGCAATCCTGAGGACTAAGACATGTGTATATGGACTAACTGACCTATATTTTGGAGGCCCTCGTTGTACTTAGGGATTGTGTGAGCCCGTGGGGGTATACACAATATAAGGTTGAGCCTCTTTTTGATAGATGTATTATATTATATATGTTTGGCCAGTCTGTTAGAGTATATTATATATAATTTGATTATCTTTGCTTGGTAGGAAGTTTTAAAAGTTTAAATTTGTCTGTGTTTTCATATTTAATACGTATAACATGCTATGTTAAGTTTAAGAGAAGGTTAAGAAGTAACACTATTTAATATGACTAATTGGATAATTTAGAGTCATATTAGAGGGGTGTTACAATCTTGCAAAATTTTCCTCTTTAAAATTCTACTTCTATTGTTACTGTTGACCACAATTTGTGAACCCCAAAAGTTCTCAGGTCAAGCAAATTAAGGAGAAAATTAGGTATAGTAAAAAAATGAGAACTCCTACTGTGTACCTACACTTTCATGTGACTGCATGATGATGAGCTAACAAAGTAATTGTTTACTAAATTATTCAAACAACATTACTCATTATTTAATACGTGTTATTTACGTTAAAAATGTTAACATAAGAAGTTCATTTGTTAATTTTTACATTTTATATGACATTTTCCATCAAGAATTTAACAGAGTGAGAAAATTTATAAGAACTATTGAAGTTTAAGAAGAGAAAAAAAACTAAAATAAAAGTTTAGGGGCATTTTGTGACAAGACATATAGTTGTAGTAGTTGTAGAGACAACTGTCTAATTTGTTCAAAGTTTAAAATCACAAATGCATTTACTTATAATTTTATTAACCTGCCTTTGGTAATGATAACACAATCTAGAGACCAACATTTAACTTTATTAATCGTTAATAAACTTTTCTTTTTTAAAAATTTGCTCCAAGGAAATAAAAATGTATTCTACAATGTTTCTTTTAAATCCTACCATAAAAAAATTCCTTATAAATTATCATCAAGTATTAGCACTATTAGCGTTAACACAATCAATAACCGAAATTTAAGGCATGCAAGAGTGAGATTTTGCAGTTGTATCACAACAAGCAAATCACTTTTTCGTGCCTCATGAGAGGTCATCAATCATCATCTTGACCCCATCATACAGTTCAACCGCGTGGTTTTGTTTGTCTGTCTCAAGGCACATCATAAAACCTATTTGTGAAAACTACAGTGAGAAGTGAGAGCCCGTAAACGTTTTTTTGATGATTTAGAGCCCATGATCAATGTTACCTTAGCTTTTATTATTATTAGTGCTTAACCAAAAACCATCCCCATTCAATATTCATTCCCATGCCCTGCAATTGCAAAGCTGTAACACTTTTAACACATACACTGGCTCCATCATTTAATTGTAAGCACGTTTCAAAGATATAATTGTTTGTTGAATAAACTTGGCTGTATTTGGTTGTGATTTCTTTAATTTAAGATTTCAATCATTTTCTATTTTCCTTTACTACTAAAAAATCCTTTTATTTAATAAAAAATAATTATAGCGCTCTCGTGCTTTAACTACGGTAACTCAACTCATTATTTTTGTTAACAAAAGTGAATTTTACCAATCCAACTCAACATTTTGTTAAAAACATGAATTTTACCAATCAACCTAGGTCGAACGATTCTATTCAACTCTTTATACAGAACCAGCACCACAGGAAATACGATAGGCACCATAAACATAGCTTAAGTTTCCTTTTTTTTTTTCCTTTAACCTAAGTTACTAACTATTGTGGTAACTTTTATTTTTAAGAATCGTTGTGGTAACTATTAATATCATATTTTTCAATAAAAGAAAAAAAAGGGAATTCGTAGTTTGTAACTGTCATTTTTTCTAGCTAAGTTTGTAACTGTCTTTTTTTTCTAGCTAAGTTTGTAACTGTCGTTGGCATTGAATTGAAGAGTGAGTGAATACTACAAGGAGACAAGGACAAGAATGCCAGAAAAAAAAAAAAAAAAAAAAAAAAAAAGAAAAGGAAAAGAGGGGTCAACGTGTAAATAAGTCCCAAGAAGAGGGGCCCAAAAGAGACGGTGTAAAGTAAGAGAGAGCGTAGTTGAACGGGACAGAGTGGAGACAAAGTGCTTCCAGCACAGATATTTCTTTTCCATTTATTTATCCATTTTTTTTGTTCCTAAAAAAATATCCTCTCTTTTTTCTCTCTCCCTCTCTTTCGAGGTCTATATCATCGGGGTTCGCTCTATCATCTACGTCGCTGCAAAAAGGTGGTCCAATCTCTTTACTTGTTTCTTAAAACTCCTTTACTTGTTCTTCCTCTAATACCCATTTGCTCTTCTTTTCTCTATTTTCCATTTTAAGAAGAAAAAAAAAATAATTTATTTTTTCATCCTTGATCAAGGAGAATTAGTTCAGCCAGCCTCAAAGATCCAACATTTTTTCTTTTCTTCAAAAGGGTAAGTGCCTTTGCCTTCTTCAAGTAGTTATCTATTTGTTTATTTATGTTTAGTTCAATTTACCACCTTTGATGACCAGATCTTAAATTATTTTGCATTCACACCCTTGTGCCCATTTGATCAGATTTTGCTTTGAGTTCTATCTTTTTTGCGCCTTAAAAAGAATGAAATTTAGCTATTTGGGTCTCAAAGATTTCAGATCGATTGCTGAGATAAGCTGATGAAGAGAATTTTTAGCTTTTATGTCCAAAATGTGTTTTTGACTTTAAGATTTACCTTTGATTAAAATGGGTTTAACGAGCGGCTTTAACTCTTGACAGATCAACAAATCAGTTAGTAAAATTTAAAAATTCCAGAAGTTTTTGTTGTCCTTTAAATTTTCTCATTAGCCAAACAGGGTTTCTCTGCATTCTCTTGTTTCTCCATTTGACTTGGTGTTGAACGCGTCTTTGGTTTGGTCGAACAGATATATATATATATAAGGTTGAAGAGAAAAGCAAACAAGAGGGCATTGAATCTGTGGTGGTATTGGGGTGTGGATAAGTGAAGAGAAGAACTCAGATCTAAGAAAGTATAAAGAATAATAATGTCTTTCACTGGCACCCAACAGAAATGCAAGGCTTGTGATAAGACAGTTTATCCGGTTGAGCAGTTATCTGCAGATGGTGTTTCTTACCACAAGTCTTGCTTCAAGTGCTCCCATTGCAAAGGGACTTTGAAGGTTAATACTTTAACCTCTTTTTGTGCTCAATTCTCCTGCCATCATTGGCGTTTGTGCGTAACGTAAAATATTGCACGTCTCAGTTTAGGTTGAGCAAGTGTATCGCATTTATCATACTTCTTTTGTTGCATTATTCTTATTGAGTTTATAGTGTTTGTCGTCGATGGACCGGTTCTGCATGCAATATGTAGAAACAAGAGGCTTAACATGAAATTTTATTATATATTACAATGACTTTAGAAAGGTGTAACATTGGTATGTGATAGATAAATTTCTTGTTGTTATATCTTTGCAAGAAAAACATGTTTCGCTGTCTACTCCTACATGTTACAAGTAGGACCGGTCTTTTGTTGCACGACTTGAGTCTTTTGCCTAAGGTCATAGTACTGTGGGTGTTTAGTTTTTGTAATGTAAATGGCTATATTAACATACAGGGCAGGAGTAATAGCTAGTTTGAGAAATCAGAAATAAGGCCAACTGTTTGAGAGGTTGAACTCAAGAATTTATTGGTTGAAGTCTGTGCTTGTTGCTTATGAATTGTGTAAATTTTATGTTTCAGCTGAGCAACTATTCCTCAATGGAAGGGGTTCTTTATTGCAAGCCCCATTTCGAGCAACTCTTTAAGGAAACCGGTAGTTTCAACAAGAACTTCCAGTCGCGTATGTATTTTCCTCTTGCCTATAAAAATTCTTTCATTGATTCTCTCCCAAGAGTCCTTTTTGTTAACCTGCCATGGATTTTATTTTTAACAGCTGCAAAGTCAGCTGAGAAGTTAAATCCCGAACTGGTAAATAACCTCTGCGATGCTGCGTTGATTAAATGTTCAATTATGATTGCAACAATCTATTGTAGAATGTTTGACAAACGCTTTGCTTTAATCACTCTTGAGGAAATTTTGTTTTGTTTTCTTTTATTTCAGACTAGGTCACCTAGCAAAGCTGCCAGCATGTTCTCCGGAACACAAGACAAATGCGCAACTTGCGGTAAAACTGCCTACCCATTGGAGAAGGTGAGATTTCAAGATCTCATAAATTTGATAGTCTATTTATTATGCTGTCTCGATATTGTCATTCCCATTTCATGGTCTAACGAGTGAGTTCGCGTTTTGGATTTTATGCACCCACGCACTAGAGGCATGCATATTCTTCAAATCTCACTTTTCATTGTAACTAAAAAATAAGTATGTCTCTGATGTTTCCTTGTTGTCCTTTCCAGTTTTGGGTGAGTAGGAAGTGAATCCATTCCTCTAATGTGCAAATCTTAACGTAATTTGAACATTAATGCCCTAAGCTGAACTTTTTTTTTTGGATTCATTGAAGGACAAAATAATACACTTCCTAAGTTTTATTCACTTGATTTTATGGCAGATCTAAGTACGTGCCTATCATATCTTATGTAAAGCTAGTGAATACGATTTTGTCATGGTACTTGGACATTCATTGCTAATTGGTGGTGCTTAGTTTGCCTTTAAAACTTGTAGTTGTAGTAATATCAAGCACTCAGTTCATTCCACCTTAAGAAATTTTCAGTGATGGTGCATGTATATTATCCTGTTGAATAAACTAGTAGGAGCTACCTTCCAAGCTAGAATTACCCTGAGAAACCATTATATCTCCGAATCACTTTCAGTTCATAGCACCGGCGCTCGGATTGTAACACTGACGTAAACTTCACAGGTGACAGTGGAGAGCCTGACTTATCACAAGTCATGTTTCAAGTGTTCCCATGGTGGCTGCGCCATAACTCCATCTAACTATGCAGCGCTTGAGGGAGTTTTGTACTGCAAGCACCATTTTGCCCAGCTTTTCAAGGAGAAGGGGAATTACAACCATGTTCTCAGGTCCGCGTCGTCGAAACGTACAGCGGCGGCACCGCCCTCTGTTCCTGAAGCATAAATGCATAAGAAAAGAAAAATTTGTGGTGTGGTTACGACTTACAATGACTCTTCTTTGGTTTGAGAGTGTGTTTTCTTCCCCTCAACACCATGCTTTTTACATGGTGGAGGATTGGCAAAACTTGGTTCTTCTCTTATCATTTTGGGCTCACAAGTGTTGGGCATGTTCTTGTGTTTGCTTGTTATATTGGATATGAAATCCAACGGTTATAAAATGACAAATTTTAGAACCTTATATTTATGCAAGTAAGGTCATATTGCCTTTCAGTTTTCACAAAGACATGTTAAGGCCGTGTTTTGTGGATAAGTTCGTTTAAGTTTGAAACCATCAGCCCAATTGAAAATTGTTGAGTTTAAACCCATAATGAGACATATTTGCCACCCTAAAATGTTAAAAAAAAGGAGTATTTATAGTCGACGTGGCGCCGCTTTTTAATATATCAATTTCAGGTATAATTTTTAACCATTACACCAAATCATAATCATATTAGATTTATAAAGTACGTCAATTTTACAAAATTTGACTAAAATTATCGGTTAATAATTGTGTTAAATTAGTCGGTTAATAATTATGTTTTATCAACAAGGTATTTTTAATACCCTACCAACAATTTCCTCAAAAGAAAATATCAAGTTTTAAAATAAATACAAACAATTTTCACAAATTTTTCGATATTTTCACTAGGGATGTTTTAAAAATTGGAAAATTGAAACCAACTGCAGCAAGCTGAATACTGGATGCCACGTCATAAATTTGAATATGTAGATCAAAAACCAAATTGCCCAAAAGAAGGCAAATTGTCAAAGTAGGTATTTAACCTTGGTTTTAAATCCAACTTGCCAAAGCCTTATATTTTACATTTATTTATATCTTATATATAAAAGAAAATTGCAGAATTTACCTTTAATAGTGTGTATTTAGATTTTTAACATTCATTCTTGAATAATACCATTTTACTAATATAATTATTTGACTAAAAAGGTTATTAATTAAGAGTAATGAATAAAAATCTTGATCCATGTACTTTTAAAGGGTGTTTGTCTCTTTTCCACTTATTATATCAATTGTATATAGTATATGTTTTGATTGAATCTTAAAAAACTTGGTTATTCATCTTGGTTACTGCTTGTAAACTTCTAGGTTGCTATTTGTAAATTACTTGGTTACTGTCCGCAAAACAGCAGAAACTAAGGGTGAACATCAGGTGAATTTTATGGATTTTTGAGTTTTTCAACCCACCCAATCAAATTTGGGTTGGTTGATTTGAAATTTGCTCAACAATGTTCCATGGCTTTGCACTTGCCGGCCGTTGCACGGAGCGAGAGAGAGAACGACGATGAAAATTGAGATGAGTGGGAGAGGGCACGCCCCTTTTTTTCTCTCTCTCAATTTTTAATAATTCAATAAAAGCAAGTTTTAGTTTTGTCCTGAAAAATTAATCAGGTGAGAGGCACTACATCATTCCGTCAATTATTTTCAATAGTGTTATCAATTGGAATGCTTATATCAAAATTTGTAACTTTAAGGGGTCAATTGCCACAATTTTTAGTTTAGAAACTGAATGGTCAAACACGCTAAATTCAAGGGGTATTCATGCAATTTTTTTTTTCTTTAAGGAGTTTGTTGTCGATTTTTATAATTGTGTTTATTGTTGTTCTCATGTCATTTGTCGCTTATATATTATTGTCGTTTCTTTTGTAGCATTTTTCCCCGCTCAAACTTTTTTGTTGTAGCCAATTATTGTTAATATTATTATTTTTTTATTGTTAATATCGCGTTAATATTATTGTCGTTTTACTGTTCTTGTCATTCTAATTTTATTATAGTTTTACTACTAATACAAATTCAATACTCATAACATACGCACATAGGGTGAATCGCACATGCAAGAACATTGATGCTCGATAACAATCTTCAATGATTATCATTAGCTGTAACAAATTGGCTCATTCTCTGTGTACTTAGGCCAAAGAAGCTAACTTTGAAGGATTCTTATGGCATGTTTACCCACGCATAATCAAAATGAGCGTGAATCGAAGTGGACAAATTCAGAGTTGGTAGGATTCAGAGTGAGAAATCAGAGTCAAAATAAATTGTTTACATGGTGACAGAATTTAGAATCAGAGTCACTCCAAATCCTATTCATGCATTTATTTACACCCAGAATCAGATTAATATTGTGTAAAAGTACTAATATACTCTTTAAGTCAATTTTATATTTTTAATTTAAAAAATAAATTGTGTACTTATTATATTAAAATTAATCATAATTAAAATATTTAGTGTAATAATATGGTAATAAAATAATAAATATAAATTGTACAATTATTTAAAATATAAAAAATATATTTTTAAATTTTAAATAAAATAAATAAAAATATAAAATTGTGTTAAAAATTAAATTCATTATTAATTTATTAAATAAATAAAATACATATTTGTTATATTAAAGTTAACAATAATTGAGCTAATATTATAATATTAGGCAAATAAAATAATAAATATAAGTTGTAATTATTATTTTTTTAATATTATGAATGAAAGTTCCAATCTCAATAGGTGTCATAGGAGTGTCAATCTCATTTTTTAATTCTAAACTCTCATTCTCTACTCATCCCCTAATTCTAATAAGTAAACATGCCATAGTGTCAAGCATTAGTCCTGTAAATATGGCTGTAGCTTTAACTGCGAATCTTCCTTAATACTAATCTTTATTTTAAGCAACAAAAAAAAAAAAAAAAAAAAAAAAAAAACTACTTGAAAACGGCAAAAAAATATAGAAAGGACTAAGAATTTAAACGACAAAAAAAAACCCCCATTATATAGAAAAACAACACTACCATAACGATAACAATTACTACCATAATTATGAATACAATTTCAGAAAAAGAAAAGTTCAAATATACTAAAATCCATGACCGTAAATCTAGAACTATGTTTCGCCAAGTATAGGATTAATAAATTAACTCCCCAATCCCATGAATAAAAGAGCAATCATAATAGAAAAATAAGTACTATATACTCAACTTATTGACTAATTCAAACTAAAACTATGAAATAATATTAAAGAAAATAAAGATAACTAAGTAACACAAATTCAAAACTTGTAACAAAGTCACATGTCACAGGGGGTGAATTGCACATGCAAGCACATGTACTTTGATGTCCTAATGGAATTCAGATTGAATATCATGAATTTTTCTTTAGATGGATTGGTTATGTAACTAGTGGTTCAACCCAAGTTGCACTTCGACTAGGTGCATCATAAAAAAAATAAAAAAATAAAAAAAAAGCTTCAATTGATGCACGAGGCAACTGAAATGTGGACGTTATTTGACCATGATCTGAATTGTTGCCGCCATTTAAAGAAGCCTTCTTGTGTATTAAAAAGTCTGGTAAGGTGAAATCATCTGAAAGCATAACTGTTGAATTAATATAAGGCGGCCGTGTTATGAACGAAAAAATATGACTTTTTTGCACCTACTACTTATTGTAAATTGATAGGGAACCCATGCCCTCTTGGACAAATCTAGTCTCAAAATTCCCCATTTGGGGTGACAATGCATCAAAATGTTCCCTTCATACTCAACTATTTGACCACCAATGCTATAGTGAATTGGAATTTCAACCTCATAGGAGTCCATGTTTTTAGTTTCGACCACAAGCATAGTCCAACGTTTGCTTTTATCAACAGCCTCGTACGTCAAAACACACTAAATATTTACCACTAAGAGAATTTTCACTATCTTATCAATAGTTTTATCACCACCACTAGTGGTACTATTACTACTACCTCTAACCCTAAACTTTTTTTTTTGATGCTTCGTGGACGGAGGATCTTTGAGTTTCACTCCAACCCAGGACCTTTTCCCTTAACCCTAAACTCTTTAGTTTCCCACTCTTCATCACCACTACGCCATGTGCATATCAACATCTTATTGCTACTAATATTCTTGTCTAGTACGTCTTCGATCTCCGCACTAAATACCGTGAACGTTCTGAACAATAGTGGATCAATGCAGCACATGATGCATTATTGTTAATACTATTGGATGTGAATTCTTTTCTATTTGGAAGACGGATAACCTCTTGAGTAAGTGCATTGAACAAGAAAAGATGTTGCTCACAAGTATAATATTTCCATGTTCTTTGAATTAGCAACCACCCGGACTTCTGAGCAATTATTATACAGTGGTCGCGATCAAACAATAAGTTGGCCATTGCATTTGTACCTGGCTTAATTTGTTCATAAGTTTGTATGTTTTACGGGTCCTTGGATTGTAGAGGCAGTACTCTTTCATCACTCCTGAACTTGTGTTTTTCTTCCCCCAAAACACTATGCTTTAGCATGCATGGTGGAGCACTGGCAAAACTTGGTTCTTGCCTTGCCAATTATGGCTCAGTTGCCATGTTCTTATGTTTGTTTGTGTCGGATGTGTAATATTCTACGGTTGTAATATGACAAATTCAGGACCTTAATTATTTTGCAAGTTCATGTTTGGACTTTGGCTATCTACAAAGATTTGGAAGACTTGATAAGTGGTTATTTTTTCGTTGCTGCTTTCTGCTTAGAGTTAATTACTCGCAATGAGAAGTTTTAGAACGAGAAGTTATAACCACCTTAATTCACACATTCTGGAGTTAGGCTTTAATAAATACATATGGCGTGTTTAGAACTCGTTCACACATTTTGTTTTTTGTATGAAAATAAAAATGAAAACGTTTTCAATTTCAGACAGAAATCATTTTTGAAAATGCGTTTGGTAATTTTATTAAGAGATTGTTTTCAGTATAAAAAACCCATTAATATATCTCTCTCTCTACTCGAGAGAGGAGAAAATGAAAACAAAAAAAAAAAATTCATTTTTCATTTCTCTCTCATTTTACATTAAACCAAAAAATCGTTTTCATTTCCATTTTTTATTTTTATTGCGCCAAACGCTGTTTTAAAAATGTTTTCATTTTTTTTTCTCGGAAAACGTGAAAAACAAAAACGGAATAATTCTAAACACGGCCTTAAGTCGTTTTTCATTTCTCTCATTTTACACTAAACTAAAAAATCGTCTTCATTTCTGTTTTTTATCTTTAATTATGCCAAACGCCGTTTTTTTTTTCTGTTTTCATTTTTTATTTCTCGAAAAACGTGAAAAACAAAAATAAAAACAACTCTAAACACATCAATAAGAATCAAGTTTTTGCATGCCAGGTGCCATTTACATGCATTTTGCATGTCAATTGTTATGTTTGCTCTTATGAGCTATTTATACTATCTTATTTAATAATGTTAGAAATATCACTTACATTTCTAAATTTTCGTACAATTTTGAGTTGTCATTCTTTTTTATTAGTAAGTTGCTTAAAAAGATTGCCACACCAATTAGTAATAAAAGATTATCTTTTGCAACCAAATTAAAACAAAAAAAGAAAAAGATTAAGTTGGTGTTTTTAATTACTCATCTTGTTTTATACTATTTCGAAACTGAGATTGTTTATCTGCCTAACTATGCCCTTAAACGACACTAGTTTTTAGATGAATGACAACATCAATTTTTTCGATAAAAAGGTGTCGTTTTAGGCTTAGAGAGCAAAAGTGTCGTAAACATGCTTGAAAAGAACGTAAGCAATTTGAGTTAAGACTAAAAAAAACAAGCACTTGAAGGAACGACGTTTTGTTTTATGACGCAAACGGCAGAGAACAAAAAAGCATACGCTGTAATGTTATTTTGTTTTTCCGATTAAACGACAACAACATTTCAAACAACCAACATGTTACATATTTGGGGAGATAAGATTTAGGAAATACGCCCTCTTTAATTGCATCTTTTTCTTTCTTTTTTTCTTTTCTTCTTTTCCCCCCTTCTTTTAATCTTTTCCTATGGGGCGCATTCATTTGCATTTGCATTTTTTCAAAGAGAAAAAAGAAGAGTAAGAAAGAAAAATCCATACTAAAAAAAAACAAAAACTCCATTGCAAAACGACATCGTTTCAGTCGTCTTTTTTTTGGCGGGAATGGGTGGTTGTTTCCCGCCCATGGTCTTTCGGAATACAAAGCAGCAAAGTCAGGGCTTTAACCCTCATGAAACTGCAATACTCTCTCTCTCTCTCTCTCTCTCTAGATCTTGCTTTTGAGTTGGAAAATGTTGGAGCTGAGGCTGGTCCAAGGAGGTCTCCTGAAGAAGGTTCTGGATTCGCTCAAGGACCTCGTGAACGATGCCAACTTCGACTGCTCGGCGACGGGCTTCTCTCTGCAAGCAATGGATTCCAGCCACGTCGCTTTGGTGGCGCTTCTTCTCCGATCGGAGGGCTTCGAGCACTACCGGTGCGACCGCAATCTCTCGCTTGGAATGAACCTCAGCAACATGGCCAAGATGTTAAAATGCGCCGGCAACGACGACATCGTCACCATCAAGGCCGACGACGCTGCTGACTCCGTCACCTTCATGTTCGAAAGCCCTAGTCAGTTCTCTTGCTCTCAAGTTTCTTTTCCTTTTTCTATTGAGATTTTTGTCTTTGATTCAATTTTATACCTCGAAAATTTGGGAAACCGGAGGAGATTGATTAGATTTGGGGCTTTTTTTTTTGTAATATGTTTACTTGGATGAACAGTAATTGTGCATTTTCTTTTTAATTCGTTCTTTCTTGAATGTAAGTTGTATAGTGCTTGATGGATTAGGATTTAGTTTTATGTGTAAATGGGTCACAAAATTTGGGGAATCACGCGAAATTGACTAGACTTAGCTTCATTTTCTTCTTCAATAATTCAATTTTGGAGAAATATAGGAATATTAATTCTATTTTAGTTCAATTTTCCTGGAATGCTTGTTCAATTCTTTGATGGTTGGATTAAGGCTTCAGTTTTATGTGTGCATGGGCAAAAATAAAAAAAAAAATGAAGGATTTTGTCTATGAACAGTTCTTAGAAATTGTTTATATTCTGCTATCTTAATGTTTGCGTCTTGCTTAAGGTTTCTTAGATATGTGTTTGGTTTGTGTGTTCTGTTCACGCGAAATGTACTAATTATTCTCAACCAAATTGTGATTACTTGTTCAAAATTCCTTGGGGGTATGAAGATCAAGATAAGATTGCTGATTTTGATATGAAGTTGATGGACATCGACAGTGAGCATCTTGGGATTCCAGAGGCGGAGTTTCAGGCCATTGTTAGGATGCCGTCGGCTGAGTTTGCACGAATTTGCAAGGATCTTAGCACCATTGGTGATACAGGTAGTTCTCTTTGTCACAATGTCTTGAGTTCATTTATTGTCTATTATTTTAGGCATATTGACTTTGGTTGGACAAATGGGTTTGTTGCAGTTGTGATATCTGTGACCAAGGAAGGGGTAAAGTTCTCTACAAGAGGTGATATTGGAACCGCTAATATTGTTTGCCGGCACAATACTTCTGTGGACAAGGTTAATTTTTTCTTAAGCACTTTCTCTTACCCTTAAAGATGTTTTAACTGGCTTTTAATTTGAACAACAATGCTAACTTGAACCAGGCCGCTAGGTAGTTAAATTAAGAAACTGAGCTTTCGTTTTTTACTTGTGTTCTAGACGACATGAATTCTTTGATTTCAATGGATATATTAGACATTGACACAGGAGATGTTAACTTTGATCTTATTTATAGCCTGAAGAAGCAACCATTATAGAGATGGAAGAGACGGTCAGTTTGACCTTTGCATTGAGGTATATGAATTCATTCACAAAGGCAACCCCACTGGCGAACCAAGTGACGATCAGCTTGTCTTCCGACTTACCAGTTGTGGTTGAGTACAAAGTTGCAGAGATGGGTCACATAAGGTTTTACTTGGCTCCCAAGATAGAAGAAGAGGAGGAGATTGAAGCTCAAAGAGAGACCAGGCCTCAAGTGGAAACCAAGCCAAAAACCAAACCCAAGACAGAGATCGAGCCACCTATAGACGATATCAAGCCTAAGGTTGAACATGTCTCAGATATTAAGCCGAAATTGGAGATAAAGAAACCTAAAGAGGAAATTGAAGCCAGTGGTGAAAGCAAACCTCAAGTGGATGCCAAAGCTGAAATAGAAGTAATGGATGTTGAGTAATTTCACTTTTTAACCTTAGCAAACTGATGGGGAAACGTTTCACTAGTTTAGTGTTTTTTACTTCACATTTTGTCATGTAGGGATTATACAATCCTTGCTTCCATTTGTGTGATTTTGCCTACTAAATTGTTGATTGAAAGAAACGCGACTGTAATTGCAGAGTTTTAAGCTACTACCACTTAGCAACTAGAATATAGTAATGCAGTTATTGAGAAATTTGTCAAGCTTTTAAGTTTTCGCATACCTCTAAAGCTGTTGTGAAATCACTTCTAGTAATTGAAAAGAAGCCATGCCCATGATTTTGTTTTTGTTTTTTTTTTTTTTTTTCTGGGTCATTAGTTACCTGTGCTATGAGAACTAGTTCAGCAAACACATTTGTGGGAGAAGCAAGCATATGCAAAGATATAAGAATGGAATTGTAAAATTGTAGCTGTTTTCATTAATTAATCAATATAAGAATGTTAATAACAGACTGATTGTGTGGAGACCAGTACTACAACCCTTTGCCAAAAGAATAAAAAGATAAAGAGCATATTCCTTCATAACCCTAAGCTGGGAATAACAGGGACATATTCAGTCACTTATTAAATTTTCCTATGACTAATTTCCTGCGTTGTCGCTGATACAAATGGAAACACTTTCGAAGGTTTCCAGGGAGAAAAAATAGAATGTAAAGGGAGGAAAAAAAAAAAAAAAAAAGAGCCTGTCACCAACTGATAGCATGTGGACTAAACCTTTTCCCCCAGATAGGCTGTGCCGCTTTCCTTGCAACAAGAAAAATCAAAACATTGGGAAATCCAGTTACTGCTTTCCCAAAGTGTTGTATCATTTACTTCGTTTCTTGGCTTCACTGTAAAGGACAACTCCAATGACTGTAAGAGAATAACCCATCATTCCAGTCACAGATACAGGGTTTCTGAAAATTAAAATTGAAACCACCACAGCTACTGCTCCCTTTGCATTTCCTAGCACCTGCAGAGCCAAACAAGGTTTTTATTATTTTTATTATTATAGATCTCAAGTTTAAACAAATATATAAGAATATGTTCAATAGACAAGTTAAAAATCACGAGAATAGTTGGGCAAAGAAAATGATGTCGTATGTCTTTCATAGGACCACAACAACGAAAGAACTTTGGGGAAGAGGAGAAAGCAACAGTGTCTAAATGATGCATGTTCTGAGATTCAAAATAGCCCAACATGTGGCCAGCAAACTAGTAAAAGAAATCCGTACAGTATATGATGACACAAAAACACGGGAATAAAGGAAAAAAGCTTTAAACATGAGATTAGCTTTGAAAATTTCAAAAATCCGTCTTCTCTTATCTATTTTCTATAATTATAGGGAGACTATAAACCACTCGATACAAAAAGTCAGACTTGCAAGAAATCAAAATCCATAAACTATTCTACGTCAAATATGTTCCAGAATAAAGGAACAAAACCATGAAAGAAAATTTGTTCCTACTTAATACTGTTTTCCAGCTAATAAGGTAAACTGTATGAATAAGTCTCTCAATAGTCAATACTACAGATAATACACTTTTGTAAACATCTTCCCCACTTTATCTGTAAGATAATACAGGGTTCGACTTACTTTCCAACAAAGACTAATCCACCAGGGAAGGCAAAAAAAAAAAAAAAAAAAAAAAAAAAAGTTTGGGAAAAGAAACACTACAATTTCTACCACAATAAACATTTTCAACGGTTCACATCTCACTGTACCTAGTAGTTAGATTCCTTTTCAACTTAAATTAAAATTAAAATGATTATTGATATAGCAATTAGCAACATGAATGTCTTAGAGTGCAAAAGAAATACTTTAACAGACACGGAGATGCATGGCAATTGGCAGCATTCATGAGAATCTAGAGTTCCAAAGCAATATAAAAAATAAAAAAAACATAAGCCAAAGGAATAGGAAGACATACCTGAAGAGTCAAAGCACTGGTATGTTTTGTGACCAAAAAGTTGGTCAAATTTACAAAATATGCTAATGCTGAATTGAATAGTAGATACCATATGATCTTTACATCATCTCTTGCAAGAGCTAGCGTTATGCCAACTACATTTTCTTCCATGATAAGTGTTGCCGGAAGTAGAAATACCACTGCTATAGGGGCCATATACAGAAGCAGATTCATAGAATTCAGCTTCTCCCTTGAATAAAAACATGCTTTTCAGTACTGGGTACCCAATTATAGTTGCAAAAATTCTAGAAATTAAAACATTCCTAACAGCTCTAACAAAACAAATAAGCAACATAACAGTTGCTTACCCTTCAGAAGAAAGCAAAATTCCTTGAAGAACTGATTTGAGCGCCCTTGCAGCTGTAGCAGCGATACAAATTATGAATCCAAATAGATGGAAACTTGGTTCACCCTATGGCCATGAAAACAAGTGGGAGAAAATATTAAAAAATCGCACAAGAAAATTACGTCGGAACGGGACAACATAGCAGCAGATACCCCCCCAATACAAAATAAAATACTTGAAGTCGAAACCGTAACTAAATTCAAATTTTCTAAACAAATTTCTAAAACAAAAATGAAGCCTCGGGTCAAATTCAGGAGCCTTGATAAGTCTGCATAGCCTCAAAGTCACAACAGCAAAGTTTTGTATTATCTTCTGAATTCCTAGACAATAACTCAGCGCAATGAAGCCGAATAGCTGAATTAAAGTTAATCAGTCCTCAGGTTCTTAATAATACAATCATCTAAGCTTTAAAAGCGTGTTTCTTTCCTTTCATAGATCCCAAACTTAAGTAGACATGTTAACTTCCAACAAATGTAAAAAATATTGCCTTTCAATAAACATGACAATCCAAAGACAGAGACCAAGTACACAAGAAAATTATCCAATTTCAAGAACTGAATATATATATATATATATATATATATATATATCGCGACTATGAGAATTCTCAATAAAAATGGCTATTAAATGAGATACACATCAACATTTCACAACAACTCTCCCCCCAAAAAAATCTTGAATTTGAATTAAAAAAAGAAAAGGAGAAAAACTGGTTCATACCCCGCTAGCGATTATGACTCCAGTGACAACAGGAATGAGGGTGACGTAGGTGAGCCAAGCCTCCCTCTTGAGCGTCATGAGGTAGGCAAACACGGCGGTAAAAAAGGGCGTGGTGGCGCCAATAGCCTGGTTGAAGGAGACCGGCAAGTATCGGAGCGAAATGTTGCCGAAGACGACGGAGATGCAGAAGACGAAGCTGAGAGCGGAGATCTTGAGGAATTGAACCCTGGATCGAATGGTCTGCATCGGGACCATCTTCATCCACGCGATGGCGATGTAGCTGAGGAGAGAGCAAGCGGTCATGTGGCACATGGTGAGGAAGATCGGGTATTTGAAGCCATAGTTGCTCAGCAAGTACTTGTTCAGCAACAAAACCCCAATGTTGGAGGAGTACCATGAGGCGACGAGCCCGATCGTGAACAGCCGGCTTGAGCTCTTCATCTTCACGGTTAGGTCTCGATCGGACGGCTGAGATTACGACCACAAACAACAAAAACACAAACACAGAGAGTTAAGGCGTGGATCCGCTAGGGTTTCGAAACGAGCAGAGAATCCAGAGCATTTGCGAGACGGAACCGACAATAGCGACGATTGTTAGAGAGGAATACGTGGCGGTCCTCCATGGATCTGAGGATCGAGTTTCATTGCAGATACGACGCGGATTTCTTTCTTCGATTTCTCTCTTCTTTCTTCGTTTGGGAATAAAGAAAATTTAGGGATTTTCAGAGAGAAGCTGAGAAAATTTGTGGAGGAGGAAAATGAAAAGTGAGAAAGAGTGGTGGGACTTGTTATATTTACGAGCAGGTCAGAGTTTTGAGGACAACCGACGAGGAATGTGCTGTGCTCTCTAATCTCTCTCTCTCTCTCTATCTGGAAATGGTGAAACAGGAAAGAGAGGAGAGAGAAAGTGTGTTTTAAAGCAAGAGGAGGTAAACGCGTAATGTCATATGGGGATTCGTTTCTTTATCTTTATTTGTTTATTTTTGATTAATTTATGTCATTTCCTTTTTAACTATTTCTTGCTGACTATTCCTTATTTATTTGGTTTTATTCATTTGTTGTCCCTTAAAATGTACTGTTTTGGAGATGTACAGTACAAGAAAAGTATTACTTTGACTAATACACATTTGATTTGTTTTTTTTTTTTTTTGAGGATTGATAGTTTTTGTGCACATAATTGGTATGATTTAACGGAGATTAGAACATGGCAAATAGAAAAAAAATCTGGCTAATTCCCATTTTTTTCTTTTTTTCTGATTTTATTTTTCACCTTTTTGTTTAGATTGTAAAACTTCTTTGTGAAGTCTTAAATTTTTTGAAAAAAAAAAAAGAAGAAGAAACTTATTTGGGAAGAATGGTGGAAGTTAAAAGTTAAAACGTGAATGTTATTTCCCGTTTATTATATCGATTCGAGTTTAGAATTCAAATTTTGTTACAGTAAAAAGCTCTCAGAAACAGTCACATTTAATTTTTTTGTTATAATAAAAGGGTCTCACATAAAATCACGTCTCAATTTAAATTAAAAACTCAAATCAACGAACTAAATGAACTCAAACATAATTCATTAGAATCACAATAAAATAAATATATAAATAAAAATAAAGAAGATTGAAGTAAGACCGACAAAAAACTTGTACAAGAATTGTCAAAGGGCAATTTCCTCTAAAAATAAAAAAGAAAAAAGATTAGCTTAGTAGTATCTTTCATGCCATACATGAATGAAAGGATTGATCCACTAATTTGTTTTTTTAATAAAATTTAAATCTCCATTCAAATCACAACGCTCCATTAAAAAATATATATATATATATATATATACGTGTTTGGGAGTGTGGGAATCCACGATTGTATTTAATAATTGTATGATTTGGAATTGGCAAGCCGGTAGTTAGTTGATTCGTCAACGGAGAATTACTCAAACGCGCTTAAAAGAAATTAGAGAAAAAAAAAACTGAAAAAGGACAATTATAAGTTTGGCTACTCTGCAATCAAATTACAAATGGAGAATAGCCGGTCCAAACGCTGCCTAATTTTTTTTTTTTTTTTTAATACGGCTTTTATGAGAATCTGGCCCATGAGAAGTAATTCCAAATAATATATTAAGATCAAATCATGATTCATGCAAGAAGCAGCCATGGCGTGGGCCCAACTCACACTGCGTGGTGGGATGGGACTTACCGTATCCACTCATTTACTCCTTGATTCAACTCTGACCGTCAGATTGTTCAAGTCTGCTCTAGAAGACAATCCATCATGTGATTCTTTTTCTTCTTCTTCTTTTTATATTTCCTTTTTCTTTCCACTTTCGACCTTTTCATTTATTTATTTATTTCTTTTTTTCAGTTCAATCCAACGATGTTTGTATGGTGTAGAACTGTAGATCCTAAGATTGGCTTATACGCTTTCCACCATATTTGAAAAATGTACACATAATACATAGTAATTCATTGACAATATGTTCGGACATCTTCTAAGTAATGTTAGGTATCTAAACTTTTATTTTAACTTTTTGTAAATACTACGCGACAAAAAATTGTTAATTTTTTAATAATATGGTCTGTTTAGTTCGCTGATTCGAGTTAAAATGTAATTTTATGTGAGAATTTTTTACTGTTATAAAAAAGTTAAATGTGACTTGTTGTGTGGCAAAATGTGCAGACTGTTTTTTAAAACTTTTTACTGTAACAAAACTTAAATTTTAAACTCAAATCGATAAAATAAACAAGATTATAAATTATATTTTTAGCGTTAATTGACTCACTTTCAAATAACACAGTTCCTTGACACCTATTAATAAATAAATAAATAAATAAAACAGCTCATATGTCACGTCATAAAATCAAACGGTCATAAATTCGTTTTATAACAGACTTGCCTATAACCCCCTTCACCGAATTAACAGTCTTTTTAGTTTGGCAGAAATAGGGGCGGCAGAACACATATTCCTATAATATTGGAGACTCATAAAGAGTTGGTAAATTAACTAGGTAGGTAATCCAAAAGGTTCTGAAGTTGATAGAAAATTCCTTGCCAATAATTAAACAAATTTAATATAAAAAGCAAATTCAGACAAGAGCCTGACCTTGTTTAGCCAAGTATAAGACACCAAATCTGTTTGACCTTCAGCTTCAGACACTGCTGCAGGAACCGGAACCTCATTCTTAACTGAAGCAACAAGCTGGCATCGCCTGCTTCGAGAGATAGTAAACAATCCTAAGTTGCTCCTCGGAGCTAACAACCCCGATCGTCTTTTTTTCCAACCTGAAAAATTTTCGCAAAACAATGTATAATAAACAAATTTTCTAAAACACATGTATTAGAAAACAAGTATGCAATCTAGCACAAACTTAAATTCAACTTACAATTGAAATTACAAGCTCCAGTGTTTGATGAAGCAGTCAAAGCATTAATCAGTGCCATAGACGAAGGAATCCCCAGGATTCTGTGGATAGTATATACGTGTAACTAAAGCTTATACATATAAAGAAATGGGGGCTTAAAGCCATTTATCAAGAATTTCAGTGAACATCTAGTTTTACCTGTGAGGAATTAATGTCGAGAAATTCGGATTTGCAGTTGTAATGCCATTGCGACATTGGTGGTTTAAGGCAGCTTGGTAGTAAAGAGAGCATATTCTGCTTCGTTTCTTGCCTCAGCACAGAGGTCTGGAGAGAATATTCAGTTTGTGCGTTTTCAAGTTTGACTTGTTCGTTGGATTCTCGTATAAATATCAGTGGATATATAATATGCCAAATGACATGATAGATATCGACATGGCTGATGTGCTTTTGCCTTTCAGTGTACTATATGTATGTCCAATTCGTGATGTATTTGGCCGTCATCATTGTAAAGGTTAATTCCCAAGGCACTCTCCTATTGGCTGTCCAAGGAATCATGTTCTCAAAATTTTTGCTAAATCCGTTCATTTCGCTAATTCGAGTTTAGAATTCGAGTTTTATAGAACATTTTTTGCTAAAGTCCTATTTATTTCGCTAATTTGAATTTTGCTACAGTAAAAAGCTCTCACAAACAATCACATTTAACTTTTTTACTACAGTAAAAAACTCTCATATAAAATCACATCTCAACTCAAATTAAAAACTTAAATCAGCGAACTAAACGGGCCCGAAATTAGCAACTCTTTCTCTCTTTTTATTATTTTTTTTATTTTTAAGAGGGAGTGTATGAGAAATTATTTATTTTACATATTTTTAAAATTTAATATAATTTTAATTATATTTAATTGTTAAAAATTAATCTTATTAACAGAGAGGCTATCAAAGTAAGTTTTTTTTTTTTTTAGGTTGGAGAATCTCTTTGTGTGAAATTATTATGGGGAAAGATATGAAAAAAAAAAAAAAAAAAACGAATGCACCATTATATGTATGAAAGACACATGCAAGCAATATTGTTTTTATCAGAAAAAGGCCCTTTATAATTTATGTGTTACCCGATAATATTGTTAAAGATATAAGATATGTTTGAGATAGTTTGTGATGTGCTTTTAAGTAGTAGAAGAAAATAAACATAAGTTGTGACTTTTTAATTAGTGTTTGAATAATGTTTGAAAAAGTGTTTTTATATCTAAGAAAAGATGACATTATGTTTATTAGCGACGACAAAACTGGTTATTTGCTAATAGTAGTATATTTGCGACGATATGTTGTTGCAATAAAGGAAATAAAATTTTTAAACGATTTGTCGTCGCACAAACTCATCTATTTGTGACAACATGTCGTCGCTAAAACTTAAAAGGTATTAGCGACGACATGTCGTCGCTAATATTTATTGGCGCCAACATGTTTGGCGCCAGTTTGTCCATTATTTGCGACGACATGTTGTTGTTAATAGTGAATTTTACAGCTGGCAGTGACGTAGCAAAAAAAAATAAAAAATTTGGCAGTTTCCCAAAAATAAGTTCTAGAAATTTCTTCATTTTTTGCGATGATATAATGAAATGTCGTTGTAAATAATAGTTCCCGAATATTCTTTCAAGCGCGACTACTTTTTGCGATGACACTTGTCAGTTGTCGTAGCAAATATTGATAGAATTTAATTTCTCAAAAAAAGGCGGAAACTTTGACGGTTTTTCGAAAAATAATTGCAACGACTTTATTAAAAAGTTATTGTAAAAAATGAGCATGGTATATTCCTCAAGAATATGCTCAGAAATATTAATGAGGTGAAGAAGAACGACGTCGTTTTAGAATTAATTGTGACGACTATTTAATATTTTTTGCGACGACATATTGTCGCGCAACAAGCCACTTGTATAAACGCGATCGCAGAACTTTTTCCTCCATTTTTTCTGGCCATCTCTCAGTTTTCTCCCTCCATCTCCATCCAAAACCACTACATACCGTTCAAAAACTCTCAAAAAAGCTCAAATATATTAAGCTCTCTTCAAATCTTTAATTTGTGAAGAAAAGTATTCCGAAAAAGTCCCAAAAAGTGGAGTTTTCACCTCGCCGTCACCCCCGCTTTTCTGACTGTCGTTGTTGCTTTTCAGCCACCGTCACCCTCCCAGCCCTGGTGCCTTACCGTTTTCCAACCCCCGGTGTTTGTGGGTTTGGATTTTGTGAGTTAATAGTTTGGTATATTGTAAATTGATTTTGGTATTTTGGTTGTGGTTTGTGGTTTTGTTTTGGATTTTAAATTTAGTTTGTGGTTTTGAATTTAGAATTGTGAATTGTAAATTAGAATTGAAATTGAAATTTGTATGAAATTTGTTTGATGATGATTAAAAAATAGACGACCTATTGAAATGTTAAGAAGTTAAAAATAATGAATTATATATATGATGATTAAAAAATTTAGATGATAATAAAAAAATTAAAAATAAATATTATAAAATAGTTAATAGAATGTTAAAGACTTATTACAAAATAATTTGTGTTAATTTTCTTAAAATT